TCCTCGATCAGTAGCCGCGGCTACTATTTGTTTCAGCGCCACTAACCCGCCGCGGCGCCTATTCGAGGGCGGCGTTTATTTCGCAGAGCACGGCGCGCGCTAGCTTCGCGGAGCCACGCCTTCTCCCGAGAGGCGCATAGTCAATGACCTTCAGCTTAAACGATGCATCAAAGCTCCTCTTCTTTCTGGCTGTAGCCTCTGCCATCTCATGCACGCAGCTGGCTGCTAGCTTCCAATTTCGCATTGGCGCCTAACGTCAACGTTTGGCGTCACGTGATTGTACGCATGCGCGCATTTCTCTTTGATTATTAAATGAAGCTACTATTCGAGGGCGGCCACTATTACACCGCGCGGACGTTACGTGCGGCGTCTATTCGAGGGCGGCTACTATTCGAAGTGCGGCGTTTATTCGAGGAAATACGGTAGTAGGTAGAGTTTGTGTTCAGTTAAGGCCCCTATGCAACTACCTAAATAGGGTCCTGCCGATTATTCAGGTCTTCATCTTTCTTCTACTACATACTACATAATTTCACACACAGTAGTGGTGCCTTACATAACAGTAGGTACACGTATCATTGTGGCTTAGTAAAAGTGAGAACTAAGGCACAAGGCTGGCATCTGTATAACAGTTAACTAAGGTTCCGCCCAATATGCTGGCCTCTTTATACTACTACATAGCTTCACACACACAGACACACACAGCTTTGGTGCCTTACCTAAGAGAGAGTGAGGTTCAAAGCGAATCAGAGTAACACCACAGCCAAATCTTTCCAGCAGAAAAATGGCCCTTGAAAAGTGTTTGCAGGAAGCAGGAAGAGATAGACTGAACCACAGAAGGCAATATTCATGGCCAGGTCCCTAAGAGTGGGAGGCACAAACTAAAGTCTAGACCAATATTCATGGCTGGAGTCCACAGAGAGGGAGGCCCACACTACCCTTACTATCACCCCACCTGAAACTGTACCCAGTTTCCAATATCCATAGACTAACAGTACAAAACCAAAATATACTTATGCAGTCAATCCTACGTTTTAGGCTTGATCATGGGGAAATGTGAATGGTGGTCAAACTAACAACCTACTACCCAGGCTTAGCAGGGTGTTCAAGATACTGTAGTAAGAAACATGGGAAGTCAAGTAATTCTTTGTAGCCTTTACAGTTGATGTAACACAATCCAGTACAACATTAAAATGGGGAATCTCGGCACATGTTTATGGAATGGAAAGTAATTAACACTCGTCAATGTATACCCAGCGACATTCTCACACTGTAGTGATACCACCGACATCAGTGCCAAGTAGTCATGGATGTTGTTTTTTTGGGAGACACAAAGTTACTCAGAGGATGAGTATATAGCTACCCAGAATAACATTATTGTCGTACCAACAACTACACATCCCACAGCCCTTCAATTAGCAGCACATGCATAGTGCGTAATGTGCATTGGAATCTCATTCTTGCATCGACGGTTTGTGCTTCAGTGCTTTTCATAACACTGACTAATTTTAACTAGTCAACCAGTGCATAGATCACTCCTCTGCTAATTCAATACTACACATCATCACATATTACTAACTTCAAGTATGCACCATAATATTTCATGCATGTCTGCAGTAGTCAGATACTGAACAGTAATGTAGGGACACATCACACAGACTCATAGAGAGAGTCTCCAGCAGCAGCAGTGGTAGGCTGGGAGGAGGTGGAGGGAGGAAGGTCTCGTATTACCTCATATTCACCTTCAGCTGTACTTCCAGTCCCTCTCACTACATTGTAGGCCTCATTACTGGAGGTCTGGAACTGCTCCGAGCCCCTGATGGAACAAGGCACAATTGACAGTAGAAAGAAGTAAAATTGAATTATTGACCCTCTGTTTGTGGCACTTAACCTACAGATATTTATTTCCTGACAATGTGGGCATTTCTACGCCAGTAGTGTTCGTGGAGGCTGCATAAAAAGAAAAAAAGTGTTGACTGTTTTTGATGGTGGTCCATAGTCATGTTACCTTTAGCTCTTTGGAGTTTCCTGATGAAAAAGACTATCACCATAGCCTGCACTACTATAGCAGTCACAATCACCACTCCCAACACACCACCAAGATATGCTACCAATGCTGATGAATCACTCTGAATGCACGAGTCTGATGTAGCTAGAGAAAGAAAAGTGCAGTACACAGTTTATTATACGGGACATTCTGAATAAATGAAGGATGGCTTGCTCGTGATTTATAGTGATTTTTTGATAGCACAAAATATACAAAGCTAACATGTATGCACATGGAGACTCAGAGTCAGGGCCACTGTCTGTGTTATGATGGTTTCACAACACAGCTACTATCACTGAAATACTTTCAGTATGCTACACACATAAGACACACCTATGATTGTACATGTGATACTTGCTTGCAGAGTTAGTACAGTTGAGGGGTCAGAATATAGTCCAACGTCTCCATTCTCATTCACAGCTGCTACTGATATGGAGTAGTTTGTGAAGGGACTCAGTCCAGTCAGAGTAACTCGTCCTCCACTGTTCCAGTTTTCACTATCTCCCAGAGTATAGTCTCTAGTCTCAGTCGTTGAACAAGTCTCATATTGAACTCTGTATTTAGTGATTCGACCATTGACCAGTCTACAGTTGGAGAGGCCACTCCACTGGACAGAGATCTCAGTGGAGCTCTCAGCCTCTGCTCTCACATCCCCTGGAGCCTCTCCTGCACCTGTACACGCACACACATTACACACAGACTGTGAGACAATTTAGTGGGTCTTACTTGTCTGTGGTGTTAGAACTCTCTTGGTCTCACTAGGTCGACTTGTACCTCTGACATCACTGACTGCCTTCACAGTCACCTCATATGTGGTGTAGGCTCTCAACTCATCTGTCACTGTTGACCCCACATCTCCTCCAACAGCAATACTGGCAGTAGTGGAGGGAGCACTGACTGTCAGAGTGGCAGTATGAGAGTCAGTACGGTTGCACTGCCCCTGCTGATAATATCCCCGAACTTGAGAGAATGTGACAGCGTATCTTTCAACATCTTCTACTGCATGCCAGGACACTCTGACACTGGCTGATTCTGCAGTAACCACTAGCCTTTCGGGAGTATCTGGAGCTGTGGTTAAAATGGTGAGTGGGTAAAAGGAGTAAAGAAAGTTGTCTGTTTGGTTATTGTGGGAGTGGAGGGAGAATAAAGTGCATACCCAGGGTAATAATCTTTTCGGCAGAAATTCCAGGTAGGAAAATGGGTAAGCTGAAAACAGCTTCTACTGAGATGATGTAGGTTTCTCCGTTAGTGAGACCAGAGATTTCAGTACTAGATGTGTTTCCACTAACAGTCTTAGTCCCATTTCCACCAGTTCCCCCAGCTAGGAGATAGTGTACTCTGTACGACACTGGGAGTTGTTCTGGTATTGGAGACCAGGTCACTCTAACAGTAGTGGGAGCTGTTTGCTCCAGTGAGGTTATGACAGCTACAGTAGAATAACACAGGGTAGATCTTCTATAAAAACGTTAAAAAAAGACTTTTACCTCCTACAGTTACATTAGCAGTTGTTGATGTAACACTAGTGACATTGCATTGGAATACATCTCCAACTCTGCCACTGGATATGACATCTGTCATGGCAGTGTATCTGTCACTGCCCAGGTACCTCCTAGTACCCACTGCCTGTATGTTGGTACTGATGTCAGAGTTGAATCCATTAGGTCCAGAGACAGCCATGTTCAGAGCTCTCCCACCAGTGGAGGTACACCTCACTCTGAATGTCGATGTTTCCGCCTCCACCTCAATAGCTGCAGTTACCTCAGTGACTGGATGAGAGGAACCATACAGAACATCTCTCACTACAAACCATTGATAGATGGCCACTCACTGGGGTAGAGGATGTACAGTCCTAATACAGGATTAATGTCATCAAGCATATGACAGTTGATATATCCTTCCTCTGGAGTTTCCCATCTTCTCCACAAGTAATGTGCTCTACGACCACCTTCATCAGGTACTCTCATTCCACTCCATCCTCGAGTTATACCACCGACAGCATTACTAAGTCTTATGTACTCATAGTCTGGCCAAAGACAAGGGACTGGACTATCTCCGTCAGCGACATGACATGCAGTAGTAAATTGAGAAACTTCAGACACAGACAGTTCAGACTGACACCTCATAGCTCTGTCGAAATCACCATTTGAACTCACAAACTCAAAGTCGTACACACTTCTCTTTGATATGTTATTGTTTGGAATAGGCTCGCCATTCAGGGAGATGGTTACACCTGCAGTGATTATGAGCATGAATGGTTGTAACAGACGTAGGCATCCTACCCACAAAATATAAGCCTTTTGCTACAAAAAGACTGCCCATCCCACTACCATATTCCTCTCATTTGTTGAGAACCTGAGATGCGTATTCCCCATACCATTTGAAAGGGCACACAGTATTGTTAAGCACAAATATCCCACATCAAGCACATTTTACACAATTCTCAAGCAAAAAGTTTTTTGCAGGTTATTAGGGAGCTATGTCCTCTATTTTTCTCACCGGTTACACCTCCATGATTCGCACATAGCTAGAGCAATTCTTACCATCCACACTTAGTGTAGTCCAAGAACACACACTCAGCAGAGCCACTAGCAAGACAGGAACTTGCATTCCTCGAACCTCAGTGAGCAAATTGCAAAACCAGTGGTTGGCACGACTTCTGGGCCACTGCAGTAAGTAACTACACCACAGTTTGCGTAGGGTT